TACAATTTAAATTCAGATGATAGATTTTGGCCTCATTAATGTGCTGTATTTTTTGCATGCTCAAATCTTTGTAATTTTTGCACGAAAAAAATAAATGTTTTGCAGAATTCGGCACCAAAGCCTGCCTCTTTAGCTGTACTCCTCATGCCAGGAAGAATTCCTTATCAAAGGTATGTATAGCATCTCAGCCCCAAAAGAATGAGCGGCTTTCTAATTTACAAGCTGGCTGCAGACAGTCAGAGAAACTATAGGCATGTAGTGATATTCTTACTATGTGCCTCCCTGGGTGTCCTCTACTTCTAATGCAGGTTGTTTTACAGTTCAGATTATTCACTGCTGTCAGTGGCTGAGCTATGTGCATTCATTTTATAAGGATGTATCTTTCTAGAGTGAGTGGGTGTGGCTAAAGAGGCAGCATTTTACAAAACATTTATTTATTTTGCATGGAAACACTAAACTTTCCTCATAGAGATGCATTGATTTAATGCATCTTTATAAGGAGATGCTGATTTGCCAAAGCAGTGTTTGGCCCTGCCCCTGTCCCGCCTCCTTGGCTGAGATAATCAAAATTGACAATCTTAGCCAATCAAATGCTTTCCTATGATGATGTTCGCAGATCAGAGGCAGAGCCAGCACCAGCAGAATGGAATAAAGGTAAGATTTTACTATATTTAGGGGGGGAGGGGCAAGTTTTTAACACTATAGGGTCTGTAATACATGTTTGTGTTCCTGACCCTATAGTGTTTCTTTGAAAATATTTATTTTATGACCCATCTTTTTGTTACCCCTTTAGCCTTATATTCCCTTTATAACTCCATATCTGGATGTACCATCTTGTCATTCCATTTTACACTTCTCCATTCCCATTTAACAACTTAAAAATACAAATCCTTTTCACAAGTCTTTCATCTGTATTTCTTACACATCTTTAGCCAGGTATTGTGTAAGGTGGGGGTGTTATAGAACTACAACTCCCATGATGCTTTGCATGCCTTTGCATGTATTTAGAATGTCAAAGCATCATGAAAGCTGTTGTTTTAATACACACTACACACTACAGAGTAGCATAATTCAGTGAACGATTTTTTACTAGAGTCATATTTCGAGAACTTTGGTGAGTTGTACTGAATGTGCTCATTCTATTCATAATATCTGGGAATCTGGAAAATAAAAATTATGCGCAGATTAATGATCTAATCTCATAGTAGAGGATTCAGAAAATCAAATAATGAAAAAAATTACCAAATTTGTCTAATCCGTAGGCGACACATTAGTAAAATCTACAATATTTATCCACTGGCCACACAAAGATTATAATCAAAATAATTGAGAGACCAGAGGTGTGATCCTTTATAATCCTCAAAAGAGGTGGAGAGAGTACCTTAAGAAAAAGGGAAGGGGCTATCACTGAGTAATAAATGTGCAGATATAGCACAGAGAAATCACTAATAGAATAAGGTAAAAATGAAAATAAAAAATAACTTTATTGGATGTATTTGTTAAAAACTCACAAGAAAATTAATGTGTAGATGTGAAGAATGGATCATATATTGAATGGTTTGAAATCAACCAAAATAATACCCCATGATGTCTCAAGTTCTGATGTCTCAAGACTGTTTGGTATAACACACTGCACACGTCTGTGCTGAGTGGAAAAAATGAGGCAAATGGGAGAGAGGATCAAATTATATTCTATAATAACCCATATAGACACTCTACTCGTCGAAGTCTGTATAAATATGAGAGTAACTGGCTGATGGTAAGGATTAACAAAGATTGATTGCTAAATGACTAGCTAATAAATAGGATAGTTAAATAGTAGAGCTAATTCCAGTATAGATCCCTGCTAGTGTAAAACTGCTACAAAAGGTGTCAGGTGCCAAGTAGCAACAAATGTAGCACTAGCTTCAAGTATCAGGTGCCAAATAGCAACAAATATAGCACTTTCTAAATAAATAAGATGGTAAAATAATAGGGCTGATTCCAGTATAGATCCCTGCTTGTATAGAACTGCTGCTAAAGTGTCAGGTGCCAGGTAGCAATGAATGTGGCACTAGCTTCAAGTATCAGGTGCCAAATAGCAAAAAATATAGCACTGTTTTCAATGATGACGGCAGTCCGAGAGATAGGTGAGACTAAGCAGCTGTTCTAGGAGCATACAACAGAGTACTGGACTAGAAAGCAGAGACAGAGAAAAGGTGCTAATCCTATGTCCTAGATCTCCCCATGTGCCTTCGTGGGCACCTGGAACTAACGCCCGCTAAAGGTAGCCTAACAGGACATCAGACAGAAAAGAAGATACAGGATAATACTAAAATATAATAGATAAATGGCGGTAAAGTAACGCCAGGAGCTGAGGCGAAACGCGCGCGTCAGGGGACTTCTGGCGTTACTTTACTGTAATATATGTTAATTAGTACTCTGTTAAAGAGGTATTACCACTAAATGTTTAACAGTAAATATTATAAGGGAAAATCTCATTATACTCTCTTGTACACAGTAAAAAAATCAATCAAACACACTTCCATAAATATAAAGTACAAAACAAAAATGTGCTATGTAAACACAATTAATCTTGCACAGTGCCCAGTATGTACTGATACAATGTAGATATACCAGATACCGTGCAATATAAAAATACAGTCTGTCTAATTTCACATTTTATTACAGACAGGAGGTCCTTATTATGCACGACTCTCTCTTTACTACTGCAGCATTGCAGCAATGAAAGGGTTAGGTAACAAGTCTAAATGCATAAATGAAAAAAAATGCAATCAAACATGAGTGAAACAGGTAACCAATCAGCATCCAATACAGAGTATATAAGGCAGTAACAGCTAATCTAAAACCTCTTTCGAGCTTTGACATCCAGGACATTTTTTTTTTTTTTTTAAATCTTGAAATGCAACGAAAACTGGAATTAGAACAAAATTCATCAACAGCAGAATAGAAATCCATCTCCATCTGTGTTAAACTGTAAAAGAAAAGAACAAAGTGACGGTTAATATTGGAAGGGATAATACTCATAAGTAGAGTTGAGCGTACCCGAACTGTACCGAACATTAGGTTTTTTGGACCCCGGACCCGAACACAGACATATCACTGTATGTTCGAGTTGGAGTTCAGCGATTTAATGGCACATTTTGAAAGGCTGTAGGGCAGCCAATCAACAAGCATCTGACTCGTGTGCCCTTAGAAGCCATCACAGCCATGCCTACTAATGGCATGGCTGTGATTGGCCAGTGCAGCATGTGACCCAGCCTCTATATATAACCTGGAGTCTCGTAGCGCCGCACGCACATGTGGTCTTATTAGTGTAGGGAGAGGATGCTGCCGCTGATAGGGACAGCTTAGGAAAGAATCCTGCAAACTAGTACATTAGTGGGGTGCACTTCATATCTGAGAGTCAAATAGAAGCTTCAAATACCGCGGTTACATTGGAGTTTTAAAAAGTAAATTGTTTGGGTGCTAAATAGTACATTAGTGGGGTGCACTTCATATCTGAGAGTCAAATAGAAGTGTCTAATACTGCGGTTACAGCGCAATTGTAAACATACTAATTGTTTTGCTGCTAAACTGCTAAATAGTATATTTTGGGGCCTGTTCTTCATATCTGAGAGTCAAATAGAAGCGTCTAATAGTGCGCTTACTGCGCAGTGGTAAACATTCTAATTGTTTTGCTGCTAAACTGCTAAGTAGTACATTTTGGGGCCTGTTCTTCATATCTGAAAGTCAAATTGAAGCGTCTAATAGTGTGCTTTCTGCGCACTTATAAACATTCTAATTGTTTTGCTGCTAATCTGCTAAATAGTACATTTTGGGGCCTGTTCTTCATATCTGAGAGTTAAATAGAAGTGTCTAATAGTGTGCTTACTGCGCACTTGTAAACATTATAATTGTTTTGCTGCTAATCTGCTGCTTACATTGGAGTTTTAAAAAGTAAATTTTTTGGGGGGGCGCTAAATAGTATATTTGGGGTGTTCACTTCATATCTGAGAGTCAAATCGAAGCGTAACTTTGATTAGAATTTACTACATCGGTAACTTGTAATATTGTTTCAGACCTACAACACTTATTACACAGATCAAAATGATAGAAAACAGATTGATATTTTCTACACTAGAAACTACCAGATAACAAGCTGCTATATTTAAACCAGTGATCAATAGCTAAGAGGTACTTCAACAATATTGTAATTCTGGGGCAATACCCTCGCAAGTCAAACTGAGAGGTCAGTTTATGGGGAAAACTGTTGCCTGGAGGAAATTCTAAAACAATTTCCATATGTCCTTTGCAGACTTTACATGCTGGAAAAACAGAGGTGCCAACTGCTGTGGCTTTCTGCAGTGTGCATACCGGCAAGGAGGGCAGGGTTGAGGAGTGGGTGGAAGATGATGTGGAGGATAATGATGTTCTAGACCCCACATGGAATCAAGGTCATGCGAGTGACGTGTGCAGTTTGGAGGAAGAGGCGCTGTGGCACAGAGGCACCAGCACAGCATAAGAGGGAGCAGGGTGCAAAAGCGGAGCAGGCGTCCCCTAGCGCTCGTCAGCATGTATTAGCTCAAGAATTACCAGTTATCCAATTAATACATGTAGCGATCAAAGGATCCATAATAGACTTGAGTGAACCTGAACGGCAAAGTTTGGGTTCGTACCAGATTTAACAATCCATTTGTAGTTTCACAGTGTGGTGGGCAGTCCGGTGACCAGGATCCAGACACTGTCAGGATGTAACATTCACTGTAGCGGCTGTGCGCGCTTTTGGCATTGTCACCCTGCTGCTGCTCGCCTGTCTGCGCTGCATCGTAACTTCGCCCTACCCGCTCACCGCCTCATGAGACTTTGCGAGCAGCAGCAGGCGATAGTGGAGTTTCAGCTGCAGCACGCACCGGTCAGTGGCTCTGCACCAGACTTCTCTCCAATTGATCAGAGTTAAAGGATTTCAAGTGGACTCATTACAATTACAGGGCCTCTAAAGAGTCCTGTATTGTTATTTGTCGTCACTACCTTACCGCGTCGGGAGTGGGTCATTTCCGCGCCTGCTGCCTTCTTTGCATGTGGTAGCCGTTTCTGAGGGTCCCTGTACGGAATGGAACCCTGATTCCCCGTTACCCTTGGTCTCCATGGTAGTTGCAGAAACTGGCATTGAAAGTTGATATGGATGACATCCGAATGCAAAGTCGCCACCACGGGGATGTGTGTAACGGACCGTTTCGCTCACAAGGGGATAAAAACTGTTTAGGCGATAATCCCCTTCCAGATAGACCAGCAGCTACTGCAATCACCAATCTCCCGAACTCCAAACTGTACGAATCCCCAACTCCCGAACAGGAAACACACGAACCCTGGAAGCAGCCGAACAGGAAAAGCCCTAAGAACAGCTTACACTCCTGGCAATCGGCATACAGTCAAATTCCCCCCAAGAATGAGACGACACTTCACTTGGAGGGTTAAACAGGAACAACCCTGATTTATTCACACAACAGGCTTATAAAGGATTCTCCCATGCAAGGGAGGGATTTACAACAATTACACAATACACCAATCACACATGAGTTACCTCCCACAATGCCTCACAATCCCTCCTCTCTGCCCTGGAGATAATTGGGGAAGGAATCTAATTATCTCTCAGGACAGAGGCAAAACTCCATTACCCACATGGCAGACAAAAAGACAGTAAAAGACATAAAATTACATACTGATACATTTAGTACATAAAACACACATTTCTACACATCCCCAGATAGCTTTGATCTGAGTGCACATTATTAGATGAATGGCACTCAGATCACACGAATAAGCCTTTCTGCAGGGAAAATAAATGGTTTAACCTGCAGGGCCATAGTCCAAAGGGAGCAGGCGAGCAACCAGGCTTCTCCAGTTCACAGTGGCGAGGTTGGTTTCGCCACAATGTGCGATTTGCCTGAGGTTCTCTAGAGTCAACAAAGTGCCTGCGCAACTATAATGTCAACAGCTACTCTGCGGAAAAGAGTTGTCTTTTTTTATATGTCCCAATATTTTGGGGGCTACCCCAATTAAAATATATATATATATATATATATATATATATATAAAAACAGTGTTGGCTACCTCATACTCCTCCTCCACTGCCACGGTCACCGCCTCCTCAACCTATGGGTCACTTAGTATAAACTAGGTACACATAAGCAGAGGCTTGTGAAGGCCTTTTCTCCATGCATCAGGACTGCAAGAAATTGCACAAACACAGCTGACCCGTACCTTCTTCTCCACTTCGACACTGTGGCTGGAGACTAAGTCCCGTTCGAAGATTTGAACGCTCGTTCGAATGGGACTTAGTCATTTTTTCAGTGGAAAATAGATCGACTGCACAGCCCAAATCCATGGAACTGTTTTGGGCATGAAAATGTGCTTGCGGTCGGTCATAAAGGATGTCCGACTAACTTTTGAACTACTGGACGGATTTTTATGTTTTTTGAGTATGTTTATATGTAAAGGACACTGATTTCAAATATGTAACTTTTATTAATATTGCATGTATACTTTTAAAGATCTAAGAATTGTGTAAAAACTGTATATTTTGTGCCTGTGATAATTAAGTTAGTCTATTGTGTTGAGATAATTGTTTCACAGGGGAGGGTTTGTGTATAATTGATAGGAGTGTTTGTGCTGTACACTGTTGTGGATCCAAATAATGATCTTTGTTATATTCAGAGGAAGCCCAAATTATTATTACAAGTGCACTTGGAGAAGCGAGAATTAGACACCAGACACCTGTTGGTATTCAAAATAAGCCTCTGACGTTTTATTCATCAGCTGGGTTTTATGATGTTACCTCGTCTAACAAATGAAGGAACTCTCCTCCGCTGATTCTGGTGGTCTCTCAGTCCAAGGGAACCGTGGTGAAGCAATAAATGAAAGTGGGTAGCTCTGAAAGCACTCAAGGGGGATTTACAGCTTTGACTATTATCAAGCATCACAAAGGACAAGGAGCATTTAAGAATGTTAAGAGGTTACTTAAGAAAGCTGGCATGCCCTCAGAGGGCACTCTAGACCCACATATATGGAGTGAATTTATGGCAAATTACAGAGGTTGGTTAGATGATAATGACTTAGTAGAAGTTGCCCAAAAATGTCATGATACTGCTGTTGAATTAACTAAATGTGGTTGTAGAGAAACCGCCAGAAAAGGTGTACCATATTATCAATGTTTTGGACCTCTATGGTCCCAGAATGGGCAAGAAGGAGGGTAGTCCACCAGACTTAATGGAACCCCTAGTTGCTGCCATAGACACCCCAGTGGGGCCATTAGCTCCACAATTTACTACTCCCATGATACCCAAATTTGAGAGTGTATACCATGAGAAGAGACAGCCGAGCTCAGGTATCCAATACTGGGAAGAATATAAGTCCTGGACACCCAGTGCACAACTGGCAATAATACAGAAGCTGCCGGATGTTGAAAAGGCACCCTTAGCGCTAGTCCAGTCTCTTTCCACCATTCAAGCTACTTACCAGTGTACTTGGATGGATTTAAAACAGATTGTAGCCCTAAAAGCTGGCCCCATTTGGGCTAGAATAATTGCTAAATATACGAATGCCCCTGCTAATCTACTAGGCAGTGATATACTGTCTGCTCTTAGTGCAAATATCCAGTATAGCCCCACTAGAAAAGTAACATTGTCTGTGCCTTTGGAGGACAAACAAATGATATCTCTTTCAAAGGTTTTGGCAACTCTCACTATGCCCAGCCATGTGCCAGAACCTACCATTGACTTGTCCTCAATCCCTGATTCCTTATGAGCTACAGGGAAGACAGATACAGGCAAACTCTCTGTGCCCCCAGTCAAAGTGAATCTCCTGCCCGGAGCCAAACCTCCCTATCAAAAACAATACCCCCTAAGCTCAGCACAGGAAGATGCCATTTCCCAATCTGTGCAAGAGTTTCTGCAGGCAGGGGTAATTGTCCAGACCACCTCCCCTTGTAACACACCATTGTACCCAATTAAGAAAAAGCAAGAGAAAGGGAAACCTGTGGTCTACCATATGGTACATGATTTGAGGGCAATTAATGCTGTAACTGAACTGATTGCCCCTAATGTTCCCAACCCACACACCTTGTAGGCACAGATACCACCTTCCTCTAAGGTATTTACTGTTATTGACTTGGCAAATGCATTTTTCAGTGTCCCCCTGGATCCCGACAGTCAGTATTTATTTGCATTTACACATTAACACAAGCAGTACACTTGGACTGTATTGTCACAGGGCGCACAAAACTCACCCACTATGTACAGCATGGCTATGGCACAGATTCTTGAAGAGTGGACAATGCCAAATAATGTAATTTTATTGCAGTATATTGAGGACCTAATCGTATGTTGTGATAATATGGAGACTTGTATTGTAAACACTCTTTCCTTACTGAAATTCTTGGCAGAGGCAGACTGCTGTTCAAACTATTACACCCCCCCCGCAGCCTAGCCCAGCTCCGATTCATACTGCCGACCTTGGCTTCTACAGCAATCTACATGCAGCCCCTATATGAGTGTCTCGCCAACAAAAACAAACCCTTTAAATTAACCCATGCAGCAGAAAATGCTACATCTGTCCTTACACAGGACCATGATGGTAAATAAAGACCAATAGCGTACTACTCCACCAGTTTGGACCCTGTTCCCAGGGGTGCCCCCTCATGTGTTATGGCAGTGGGGTTGTTACTGCCCTCCTGGACAAAGCCACTGATATTGTCTTAGTTAACACACTGCATGACATCAACAGCATACTGTCACTAGTTCAACCAAAACACATACATACTGCAAGGCATCTCAGAATGCAATGTGCTTTGCTTATGCCACCTAATGTTACTCTGAAAAGGTGTATGGTGTTAAAGCCATCTGCATTACTTCCCCTGGATTTAAAAGAGGGGAGTGGAGATAGTGAGAATGGTACTTGTTGTTCTGATCTTTTTGTACATTCACATTCACCAGAGGAGTTAGCTGACGCCCAGGTACCCCATGATTGTGCAGCACTAATGGCACAAGAAACAACAGTTTTTTTGCATGTAATTGATTCTCCATTATCTAATGCAGATTTTGAGTTTTTTGTAGATGGTTCCAGATATGCTAATGAGAATGGCAATTTCAACACTGGATATGCTGTAGTCTCTGCACATGAGGTAATAAAAGCTGAACCACTCGCTCCTCACTGCTCTGCACAGGAGGCAGAGCTGAAGGCACTCGCTGAAGCGTGTAAAATGGCTTCTGGTAAGACTGCTAATATTTATACAGACTCTTGCTATGCTTTCAGTATAGCCCATGATTTTGGCCCTATATGGCGGGCCGGTGATTTTCTCACCTCCGCAGGATCTCCAATCAAGAACTCTGAAGCTGTGAGTGCACTTATGGACGCTATCCTGCTACCCACTCAAGTAGGCATCATCAAGGTGGCAGCTCACATGAAGATCACAGATGAAATCTCAAGAGGAAACCACAAAGACGAAGCTGCCAAGCAAGCAGCAACTCAAGTTCATCTCTCTACAGGTAATACCTTCCTACAAGTTGTTCTTACAGATGACGCAGTTGACTACAATTTACTGTTGAGCTTACAAAGACAGGCAAGCAAGGAAGAACTCTGGAGGAAACAAGATGCAGAACCTGATGATGACAGAATGTGGAGGAAAGGTAAAAGACTGTTTGCCACAAGTATTGTACCCCATGATGGCCCAGATTGCTCATGGACCTACACATCTATCCAAGATGCACATGAACAGCATAAGTAAATACCTATTGGGTAGCACCCGGATTTACTGTTGTAGCAGTTAAACACACCCAAGCTTGCATGATTTGTGCTAGAAACAATCCAGGACAAGCTGTGAAAACACCAAGTAAGCACACCAAGGCCACTTTACCCGCTTCAAAGACTGCAGATAGACTATATTCAACCGCCTAAGATAGGAGTGTATGAATATGTGTTGGTGTGCATTTTCAGGTTGGCCTGAGGCCTACCCAGTGTTGAAAGCCACAACGAAGGTCACAGCAAGTAAGCTTCTGAAGGAACTGGTATGTAGATATGGAGTACCTGAAGTGATTAAAAGTGACAGAGGTAGCCATTTCACTGGGGAAATAATGCAAGAAATTATGAAAGCCTTAGGGATCAGTCAGGCCTTCCACACCCCCTATCAACCCCAGAGTAGTGGGAAAGTAGAAAGGGCAAAGAAACAAGATTGCAAAAGCCATGCAAGACACAGGGAAGCCCTGGACTGAATGCCTTCCCCTAGCACTCTTTTCTGTGAGATTCAGA